AATTAGGGAATTTTTCATCTGAATTGAGCTTTCATGCTGCTGCCTGACGTTGTGCACAAATATACTGTAGAATGAAACATGTCTGCTTAAAAAAAAGTCTCTTTCTTCAATATGAATTTAGAATCTATAAGCTGATCGTAATGATCATTTTTATCATTCTAGTTCTTCAGTCCTTTTCCCATAGGTTGACTCTCAAGTCATTGATGCTGCATCCCAGAAAGAACATTTCAGTTCATTCCCATACGGCATCTCAGCTGCATATTTGTAGCCACTTGTACATAAATTACAGGGGGGAAAACTTACAGAAGTGTAAAATATTTTAAGTAAAACTTAAAACCTTTGACTTTTAAGCTTGCTCATGACAAACACCCTAGCTACGTTAAAAACTGGAGCACATCCGCAGAGAACAGGCTTCTAGGCTTCATAATAATTTAAAGAGACAAAGATGCCACAAATGAAATGAACACTCTTCTGAATCTCATTAGATCTCAGCATTCACCCTAGCAGTTAATTTAAATCATAATAACCACCATCCTTTTATAGCATCTTTAATGAAACCGCCAGGGGCAATACATGGATTTTATAAATAAAACTGCCTACAGAGATTTCTCATACAATGTGTGTTTTCAAATTGATCCTAAAGGTCTTAAGCAAAAGAGCCTGCATGTCTTCTAAGAGCGAGATTTCCAAAAGAGCCCAGCTCCCGTTTCACCACCTAAATGATGTGGCCAGATTTTCAAAGTTGCTCGGAACCCAGAAGCCTCACTTGTTCTCACAGAAACACTGCTGGACGGCTGAGTTTGTGTGACAATCTGACCATGCTTCAGTTAAGTGCCTAACCAGGAACTGAGCTTTCTTGGGAATCTGGCCCCAGTTGTGGATGTTGAGCACTTTTGAAAAAAAATAATCTGGCCCTAAAAGCAAAGGTTTGGTCACTGAAAGAGGTGATGGGGACATTTGGAACAACCAACGTCCTGCCAGAATGAGATCACCAAGGAGACATGCGAGGGAATTAATAAATAGTGTCATGCCATAACCTTCAGAATAACAGGACCTTTTTACCCGTATAGCACCCAAAAGGTTCGTTTAATTAACAGTAGAAATTGACCCATACATGCTCTGAATTTGAGGGTGGTTTGGAGAACAATAATTTCTCTTTCACAAACTTAAGTAAAAAGAAACAAAATTTCTTTGCAACTTTGCTGGGCACGACTCAAATTGTACGCCTCTCTCCTGACAAGACTGCATTAAAGTCACACTGTGCACACACATCCACACAGTCCGCATTTACAACTCCTTTGTGCGTAGGTGTGGGAGCCTTCCCAGCAGCCATGACGTTTTGCCCAATTAATTAAAAACCAGAAAAACAAAATGGAGCTGGCATCTTAACAGAATGATGGCCTAGCATAAAAATGCTAAACCCCAGTCACCAGTTTCACAGAACAGCCATCTTATACGTATGGACGGGCGTTGCTTTTTGCTGAAGCAATCTGATGGCAAGGCAAAGGAAAGCAAAGCAGTCTGCATAACTGGCAAAGAAAATCAAATCCTTGAGAGTCACAAGTCACCCAATGACTGATTCCTCTTCTCATTACATTTCTCTTCTTTCCTCAAACAAGAAAAAAATCAATCACAGAAGAACCGTTTACTGCAAGTTAAAGGTTGCTTGGCATTCTTGTCCCCCGGCTCAAATCCCAAAACTCAACTCCAAGTAATCCCATTAAATGCAATGCGACTACTCATGTACGTCATACTTCACTACTGTGAGTAAGGGGCGGCACAATCTAACCTAAGTGACTAAATAATGCCATAGAGCACCACAAATGTATTCAGCTCATTGCCAAAAGCAAAAGCTAATGCCCAAAGAGCTTATTTAGGGGACAAGCAAGGACATTTGGTCCATAGTCTAAGTGCTTTGGGAGTCTGGATGAAAGGCACTAAAAATATTTATAAAGATACTGGCTCCAATTCCTGTCATTCTGACCCACAGTCTCTCTCTGGAAGAGAAGTTGGCCTTCTTCTCTCTGATATGCATTGTCATCACTGAGCCAGGCCTTTCCGCATGAGAGTATACAGAGGGACACACACACATATACATATACATACAAACACACATACATACACAGAGTTGTGCCCATCAAAGAAAGGGTATTCTCAGAATGAGTTAGCATTTCTGGGTGCTGGAATGTCCCCCATAAACCCTGAGACACACATCAGGAAGAAGGGACACTCAGCTATGTCCTTATCAATTACCCCAGTAAGCACATTCAGCGCCTCTTAATATTTACTGAATATTCATGAAGTCAGTAAATGAATAATTGGGATACATTTACAGTTTATAACTGTTATGGGATAGCAGGGGCACCTTAATAAGATGCTAATGATTCATTTTGACACAACAGTAAGAAGGTGCAGAGGGAATTTAACAGTACAACTTGCTAATGCAAAAATAATTATTCCATTTTCCAACTTCAATATCAGGAAAGACATTGGAATGTTTAAAAGTGAATACACCTCATAGCACATTTTACTGTGTTAGCAATTTATGTAATACAAATATTCAGTATCTGATGGTTTCTCTTTCCAAAATTAAAGGAACTGGGAAGTAGGACACAGGAAATCCACCCCAGTAACGCAGTAATGGCTATATAAGTGTTCTTTCATGTTGCAAGTGTCAACTTTGATATGCTTAATAGATAAGATAGATCAGTCAATCGAAATGTAACAATAGAGAGACCTTTTCGTCATATCATGGCCACCATCTTGGAGACTAAATTAAGCTTTTAAAAGTCATATTATATATAATGACCTTGAAGGAAAGGTATATTCCTACTTAGCAGATGTGCTGTGTATGTGTATTCTGCGTATAGTTGATCCAAATATTTCAACAAAAACAATCATTTCCAGCCAGCTGTAATTCAGAATCATGCCTGCTTACTTAAGTGCTCTAAGGTCCTAATCCAACTTCCATTGAGTGTCTTTCCATTTATGTGAATGGATTGGGCCCAAAAATGGTTTAGGGAGGTACCAATAGTGGTTCTAGCTTGACGGGCACAGACCAGCATTCTGAAACATGTAAAATGGGTGTAGCAGGGGCTAACCTGGCCTACGCTCCCCCACAGCCTCAAGAAAATTGGGGTTCTGTGCCCCTGAACCCTACACTTTGGAGCTGTGCCCTATATGCACCAGGAAGCAGAGGGACCACATGAATAATATTGCCTTAGCTCATCTTGCTTTAGTAAGTTCTATTGTCAGAGAGAGGTGAACCTGGTTGACATAAGATACACATAGAGAGAGATGCTATACTTCAGGCTTACTTTGTGTGTGACAACTTCCAGGCCATCTCTATATAAGGCTGTTCACATTGTTAAGCTTTGATAGCTTATTAAAGAGTTAGAAATTTCATCTTCCCTAAAGAAGCCAAGTTACATACATTTTTCAATCTTTAAATGAAATGAAAAAGTTCCCCATTCAGCACTCCCTGTGATGAGCCTCCAGTCAAGATTTTCTTGAAGTACATAAATTCTTAATTTGCTGTAGATAATGCCTACCAGATGATAGGACGACGAGCACAGTGAAAATTAAAGAACAACAGACTTAGAACAGATGTCATTAAGCACTTCTTCATGCAGAGAATCATTAACAGGTTGACTTCAGGCAAGGTTGTTGAGGCAGAAGAATGCCAACTGAGGTCATTCAAAAAGCTATTAGATAGCATCCTTCTGGAGCAGGTCAATTGTAAGAATGTCTATAGAGATGGGTTCAGAGTCTCACTTTGACTCAGTCTCGAAATGCATCGTGTGGTGTAATTAAACATCCTGACACACAATGGAAGCATACATTGCATTGTATCACATCCTCAAAGAAATATCACTTCTTTTCAGGAAGAGGTAGCTCGCCATTCTTGGCTCCCCCTGGGTGGCAATCTTATCAAGCACATCTCTCTTAATATGAAGCACAGTATGAATTTCTTGTGAGGTGGCTGCGGAGATGCAGAATGTGACTTGTGCACTGAATTACTCTAGTTAAAAATGATAAAGCCTAAAACACAGGGTCTTTTTTGTTTCCTCCAACTTCCAGCTTTCCTCCTCTTAATATTGGCAGATCCCATGTGCCAAACAATGCGCTCCATGGTGCTCTCTCTATAATACAGTGATGAATATGCATCAGCTAAACCAAAGTTTTCAGAAGTGGCCACTAATTGTTATGCTCTTTACTTATTTTTGTAATTTTTGCTATCATTCAAAGACAAGATGTTGGGGTTTGTTTGTTTTTTAAATGAGCCTTAAACTAAACTAAAAAGGAAGAAAATGAATTGCAGAAGAGACAGTAATTAACATTTTGACAGTTGGAATATGTGAATAAATACATTTAAGCCCTTTGTTATGTTTTTGATGTTCCTGATACATACTTAATTTTTCTGAGGCTGATCTTTTCTATGATGTTTTTTTCACCTCTCTCAGGAAAATGAGCTTAAAAAGTGAAAGAAATTCCCCAGCGAGAAGTAAATTTGTTACAAGATAGATCAGGTTTCTTAGTCCCACACAGCACCCCACTTTCACCGGTGGTCCCTACCCTTCTATAAGTCATCCCTTTACCCCTCCAGCCTTTACAGTAGCACAACACCTGCTACAACACAAAACTTTCACTCTGAACTTTCACTTTTCCATGGGAAAAGGACACATCTTACAGTCTGCAAATGCTCCGATGTCAGAGATACACATATTGACATAGCTGAGGTAGGAGTTAAGGTTGTGATTTCAGTCTAAAATGTAACATGCATCACCTGAATTCTTCAGTACCAGAGCCATCTCCTCTTCTGATGTCACATAGTGAACTGATGTGAATGTATTAGTGCCCTGTGCAGGCATGTCAGACCCGATTAGAAGTAATTATTCTTCCTCCCAAGCTAGTAGAGTTGCCCCTTCAGCATCTTCCATTTAAAACCTTTACATTGGCCTCCTATTAAATTTTGTATTGATTTTAAAGTTCTTACTTACCCATCAGGCATGTAATGGTTGTGGGTCCAGCATACTTGACGGATCTGCTGTCAACGGGTTTTTTCAGTCATTCAGAGGTCAGAATCAGCTGGTTACTTAGTTGCCCTAAGTTTGACATTGGGAGCTACAGCATTCTGTAATTATGCACTTGGATTGTGGAATTTACTTCCTGTTGCTGTTCAAAATGCCCAGTGAAGAACCATTATTCTGCTGAAGTTTTAATGGTCCTTAAATATTATTTTGAATATGACTGATTGTGAAGTGCCTTGTGTATCTTGAAGGGAGGTATTTTGTTGCTGATAGCATGCCAGGAAGGTGTATAGAGCCTGCCGTTTCCAATTTCTGGTAGTGTTTCATATGTGATTGCTTAATAAACTGGGCTGAGATTTTCAAAGCTGCCTAAACAATCTGGAAACCCAATACCTGTTCATTTAAGTAGCAACTGGATATCCAAATTCCCAAGGCACTTCTGACAATCCCGCTGAGTATGTATTCATGAGTTAGAATGGCAAATGTATAAACCAGTGTCTGTGCACCAAATGACAATATTGTTGTCCCCTTTTCTGTCCCATTCTGACATCAATTTTGCACCTCCACTGAGTGGTAGCAGATGTCTGGGGCCTTGCAGGTTGGTGTCTCATTGAAGGAGGCATCAGTGACATAGAATCTGGGTTTATTCTAAGTGTAACCTGCTTCATTTATACACACATATACCAGTCCTGGAATGAGATGATCAAACAGCATGCAGAGTATTCCTTTCTCCTAGGAATCTCAGTCTACCATCAATGCCCAGTTTCTACACGAGCAACTCTGCCTCCAGAATTGAGTAATCGGAGCCCAAGGCAGAAAGCAAGCTCTCCTGCTGCTCACATCACTTCTTCTCTCCCAAAGGCGCATCTATACAGAAAACTTGCGTAACCCAGATCCAGCAGCCACACAGCATGTCTCCCCAGGAGTCAATACTTGCTTGCACACTAAGAAAAAGGACTTGGATGACTATTTGTAAGTGCACTGCCTAGTGACACCTGCTATAACAATAAATATCTATTTCGAATAATAGTAAAGTTGAGATATCTACAACATCTGTCTAGAAGAACAGGAACAATTCATTCCGAAGGGGATAAAACTAGGCCTGATCCAATGACCCTAAAGTTTGGATGCTGCTCCAGATCTTGTCTAGGATGTCCCAATCCTCTCGAGTCTGCAAAACTAGATGTAGCTCTTATGAAAGCAGCCCTTCTTGTGGCATTTGCTGCATCTGAGGTCAGCCAGAAGCGGATTATATTACTATTTTATAATATGATATCCATCACAGCAATTTCCCTGGGCTGCTTCTGCAATTGCACTGTCCCTCGCTGACTCTTCCTCAGGGCAAGATGTACAGTCTCAACCTTGCCCATAATGTGTATTATACTATGTTTTACAGCCTTCAGGGGCAATTTTAGTTTAAACTGTAACTCTTGTTTCTCGGAGGGGAGGAAAGGAAAGGAAAAGCAGGTTGCACAGGTGGGCCCTCATCAGCATAACCTGAGCACCTCATGATCATTTAATGGATTTTGTCCTCGCAGCATCCCTGGCAGGTAGAGAAGTATTTTCCCTGTTTTTACAGAGGGGACACTGAGGCACAAGGCAGATTAAGTGACTTGCGCAATGGCACATGGGGAGTCTGTGTCCAAGCCAGGGATTGAGCCCAGGTCTCCCAGCTGAGTGCTCTACCCCACCCACTAGACCATCCTGCCACTGAATTTAATCTCTCAAGGCAATCTCCAAAAGAAAATCTTTGTATTCTCTAAACTGCATTTATTGACCCAGTCATATACAGTGAAACTCTTGCATGAATTCCCAATAAAGCAATAAAACGTATTCAGTGGCAAAGATTATGTTAACACAAAGGTCAGGTAGCTTGGTGGTATGTTGTTCCCTGGAAGAATGGTGAGTTGAGTAAAACTCAAACTTCTGAAAACCAGGAAATGCACAGTTAAGGTTTCCCATGCAACTTTAACTCTGCCCTCTTTCAGCAATGCCCCAATACACCCCATTAACATACACACCTTTGCTCTGCCAACCCAAATGTTGCTGAAATGTACAAGCTCTTCACCTCCTCTTACAGCCCATTAACTCTTACCCACAGGATTCCAGGTTACACTATAAAAGAAGAAAAAGAAAAAATACAAGAAGAAAGGCTGCTCATGCCACGTTCCCTGGAACGTAACTAGTGAAAGTTAATTGGTTACACTCCAGGTGCTGTCAGTATTGGATGTACTGACACTAACTGGTGGAGGCGGTAGTTGGGCCTACTTGGTAAAGGTGTGTTTGTGATATGAAGGCACATGTGAATTACTTGGAGGTGTGTGACAGAGCTGTGATTGTGATATGAGGTTTCGCAGTGTGTGTGTGAGCAAAGGGCGGAGGTGCATGTGTGCCTTCAGGATGCACCATGCATCATTTCTGCGCAGAACTGTGTAGGGTATGTCAGTAGCAGGGCATGGGGCTTTTGTTACAAAGTACACTGTCAGCAGTGAGTAGGGTTGTCTGACTCACTCGCTCATTTTCACCGGGCTGGGGCACAGGGTTGGGGTCCCGGGGTTGAGGGCTCGGCTGAGGGTGCGGGCTCTGGAGTGGGGGCTGGGATGAAGGATTTGGGGTGCAGGAGAGGGCTCCAGGGTGGGACTGAGGGGTTTGGAGTGCGGGAGGGGGCTCTGGGCTGGGGCAGGGAGTTGGGGTGTGGGGGAGGGGTGAGGGCTCTGGCTGGAGGTGCGGGCTCTGGGGTGGGGCTGGGGATGAGGGGTTTGGGGTTCAGGAGGGTGCTCCAGGCTGGGATTGAGGGGTTCTGAGGGGGTCAGGGGTTTAGGCTACGGACGGCGCTTACCTCAAAAAGCTCCCGAAAACAGCAGCATGTGTCGTCACCCCCCCTCCCCTGGCTTCTAGGCAGAGGTGCGGCCAGGCCACTCTGAGCGATGCCCCATCTGCAGGCACCGCCCCACAGCTCCCATTGGCCATGGTTCCCGGCCAATGGGAGCTGCAGAGCCGGCACTTGGGGCGGGGGCAGCATGCAAGCCCCCTGGCTGCCCCTACGTGTAGGAGCTGGAGGGGGAACATACTGCTGCTTCCAGGAGCCGCGCGGAGCCATGGCAGACAGCCTTCATTAAGCCCCGCTGCACCACCTACCAGACTGCTAACAGCTGGGTCAGTAAGCTGACCAGAGCTGCCAGGGTCCCTTTTCGACCGGGCATTCCAGTTGAAAACCGGACACTGGTCAACCCTAGCAGAGAGGTGGAATATGAGAGGATTCTAATGCTTTAATGATGGTTAAGTGAAAATGTAGGTTGGCATGGCAATCAGTGAGTAAGTGAAGGGGAGCTGTAAACAGCTGTGAAGTGGTTCTTAAATTGTACCTGTACTATTTTTCTTGAGAAGATGGCTAAGTGTGTGAGTGTACACCAGGGTCTGGAATCTCTTGAATCTTACAGTGCCAAGGGCCAGTGTGAGTATCTGCTATGCACATATTGAGGCATTGCTCAAAATGTGTAGAGGGAAGGCTGGTGTGGGCATCCTCTCTTCCCCCACCCCTTTTTTGTCCTTTAAGAGTGTTAGCTGGAATCCTGTGCGTGAAGGTGAATGGGTTGTAAAAGGAGGAGAAGAGGGGGGGTTGTACTGTGGGATTGGCAAAGTAAAGGTACATGTGTTAAAGACGTGGATTGGGGCATCGCTGAAAGAGGGCTGAGTTAAAGTTGCATAAGCAACCTTAACTGTGCATTTCCTGGGTTTCAAAAGCTTGAGGTTTGCTCAACTCAGCATTCTGCCATGGGGCGACATGACACCACGCATCCTGAACTCTGTATTCATGTAGATTTGTGCCATTGGATTTCCTAGTTTTTAAAAACAAAACCAAAAAAAAGGGAAGAGATATGTTATAGGTAGTAGCTAATAGTCATTTAGGAAGCTGTATATCTCATGTTCTTCAATTTGCATACCCAGCCAGCCAACCCTCTCCCCCCACATCACCTGGCACCACTAGCCCTGCTTCAGCCTACCTCAACAGGCATGCCCCGACCCATTCACTGTGCCCCCTCCCCAACATGGCCCTGACCCCACTACAGTCCCTAGGCCACCCCACCACAAGCAAAGAATGCATTTCCCTTAAGTCTTCACTCACTGGTATACAAGCATTTCTAGGGCTGTTACATCCTCTCCACCTACAACCTGCCTCACACACAGTGTCAAGAGCAAAGGACAACTCTGTTGCAATGGAACAGTGTTCCTGGTTGTGTTTCAGAATGGTTGGAGGGTAGGGGCTGTGGCTGGGCCAGCAAGAGAAGTCACAGACAGGGTTTCCATTCCAAAATACTGACTTTTATGTTTGAGAGAAAGATCTTCTGAGCCCTGTCCAATAGGTGTACTGGGGAACAGTGAGATGTCTGCTTGTAATTAGGGCTGTTGATTAGTCGCAGTTAACTCACGCGATTAACTCAAATAAATGAATCATGATTAATCACACTGTTAAACTAGGGCCACCATATGTCCGGATTTCCCCGGACATGTCCGGCTTTTCGATCTATAAATAGCCGTCCGGGGGGGGATTTTTAAAAATCTAAAAATGTCCGGGATTTCCCCCCGGTCAGCTATTTATAGACAGAAAAGCGGTGGCCAAGCGCCACTGGGCACCCAAAGCCCCTTCCCGGCTCCCCCCATCCCCTGCAATCTTACCACGCTGTCCGGCCCTGCAGCTGTCTTCCCCCTCCTCCCCTGAACGCTCCGCCCACTTGCTCCTCCCCCTCCCCTGCTTCCCACGAATCAGATCTTCGCGGGAAGTCTGAAAAGAAGCAGGGGCAAGTGGGAGGCAGCAGCAGGTAAGCTGGGGCGGGGGGCGCGAGGAAGAGAGCTCTGGGGAGGCACGGCCCTGGCCAAGCGGTTCCCTCCGGCCCGGGCTGAGCGGCGCCCGGCGGCCCCAGCGGCTCCGGCCCCGGTTCCGGCTCCAGCCCCGGTTCCGGCCAAGCGTGCCAGCCCACGCACCGTCCGAGCAGCCCTCGCCCCGGCCCGGCCTTGGGCCCCACGCAGCGCTGG